CACACACACACACACACACACACACACACACACACACACACACCTCTCCCTACTGGTATTAATAATGTAAATAGCTGATTCTTGTGTATGCCTGCACGCTGCTTCAGCACCTTACAGACAGCACTGTTGTGTACATGTGTGTTGGGGTGTGTGACTGTGTGAGAAAGAGTGGGGTGTAGGGGTGGGATAGCTGTTATTGATTGCGTGTGCCTTTTGATAGCGTAGCTGGATTCAAACTATGTGTGCTTTAGCCTGCTGCTGACACATGCAGGGAGGCAGGTAGCACTGCCACAGGAAGCATGGAGGGATGAGGAAGTGGTCGGCACTGCAAAGGTTTAAATTCCTTGTGTTGGAGGAGTTTCTTAAAGCAGACCTGTTAAGTACAAATCATAGGAAGATTGCCCTGACGTGGTCACCCATCGATCCCAGCTTTTGTTTTTATGCAGCCGATCAGAAGAAAGAGCATAAACTGAGGGGCTGCACCAAGAGAAAAGATTATTTTAATCTATGAATTAAACTATGAATCATGCCAAGTTACTCATAGAGTACAAGGATAAAGAGATGGAGCTGAACACGAGCCTATTAAGCTGAGTAAATGACCTCCTCAGCATTCCAGTGCTCAGCTCCGTCCTGTTTTCCTGTGATGCCCAACACTAGCCTGACTGCGTTAACAGTAGTCTGCACATCGTACTCCCCACAACCTGTAACACAATGACTCCGAGCTGCTGGAATGCAAAAAGTCGACAGAAGGATGAACTGCAATCCCAGCTGTTTATATCAAGTCCCGTGGAGAATCACCAGCCCCTGACTCGCAGGCTGCGGGGAGTATGTTTTCAGTGTGCAAGATGTGTTGGCAGCTAGCAGGCTAAAGCACAGCTCAGCAGAGCTCAAGTAGGAAAACAGTAGGGAAAGTAGGAGATTTGTTATGCTTTTTATTTTCTGAACCAAACTCCTGGAGAATTTTAACACTGGACGCACATTAACGATCGTGGTGAATTTATTTATGGTTCTCGCTGAATCACAGAGCTCTGGGCTTCCTCGATAGCAAATCTTTGATGTGCCTTTATTGCCAGAGCGCCACAAACTCACAGTGACAGTCTTCAGTTCAAGGGTGACATTTAAAGCCTTTTATTACTACTTATCACTCTCTTTTTTTCCTACAGCCATAACAAACATGTCTTTTTATTTTGAACCTTGTGGGTTTTTAAAATTGTAATTTTCAGCCATTTGGTCGCAACCTTCAAAGGCAGAATAAAGATGCATAGCAGTCGCGATGAATTGTTTGAGACATGTGAATGTGCCATATTAACTGGACTGCTGTTTTTATAGTGATCTTTCCATTCTCTAGCTCCAGTTTGTCTTCTGGTCTGACATCACTTCCCTTTTTTGTATTGCCTTAACAAAAACAAAACAACAACCTGACCAGGTTTAAGTACCCAAAGTGCACTTTTCTGTCGTGTTTATTTCTGCTCTCGCAATGTCGTTACAACCAAAAAGTCAGCAATGAGTGTTGATGGCATGGTATCGTGCGTTTTGCTAATCTTTTCGTTTGTTTATTTTTATGCTTTCATGTGATTCAGAGCCACTGATAACTCAAAGCAGGGGTGTGTCTTATTGTTTTGCACTTAGCTTATTACCATAAAGGGCAACCGTGAGTTCAAACGAGAGAAAGAAAGGAAAAAAACCCAGATCATTGTTCTGCTTCTTGCAATGCAGCAAAGAGGCTTTCACCACAACCTGTCACCACTGTTTCTTGTCTGTACATTATGACTTCATGTGAATCACCACGTAAATCTGAATAAAGACTTTTTTTGTATTTATATAGGCTGTTTGGCCTCATTCACGACCTGTAAAAGAAATTTAAACTGCTGAAAGTTTATCACAGAGCTCAGAGTCCAGTTTTTACAGCTTCCCAGACACAGGCCCTGTAAATATGTATTGCTGTTAAGATAAGAGCGTCCAGTAAAAACAAAGTTCTCTGAAAGTGAGGACTTTCCTCAGTAACCAAAAAAAGGCAGAGCCAAAGTTGGCTCCGAGCTCAGCTTCTGAGATAAGAATTAAAGCTTTGCTGCTGACTTGTGCAAGTAGGGACATGCAATGACTGCATCCGAGTAACAGGCAGAGTGTGTTCTGAGTGGAAAATACTCTGTGTGTTGCGGTTTAGGCTTTTTTGTCAGAGCAGCAGATGTTTGCTTTGTTTTACACACACAGCTCATTCAGTTGAGCCAGAGCACTAACTGCCCTTTCAGTTTCAGTTGCAGTTCTCAGTTCTCATTTTACTTCCTGTTTGTTTCCGAGACCTCGCTTCATGGCCGGCCAGTCACCCTGACAACTGCTAACCGCATTCCTTTATAGTAAACAGGCCTTTAGTGTTGTGTGTCCACAGGCCTTATTTCACCAGCTGCTCTGTGTCTGCACAGCTCTGCTGCTCTTGCTTTTCTTCAGAAGAGGCAACAGAAGGAATTCACTTCAGCTGTGCAGTAGCTCATTCTTTGCTCTCAGCAAAACCAGATTAGATTCCCTGTAATGAAGAGAAGCAAAATATTAACCAAAAGCAAATAACTAAAATCAAAAGTCATAAAAACTGTGTATGTGTTCACATAACATGTAAATGTTTGTGCTGCGTCATCATAGGAAGGAAAACACACCACTATGATTACGCACGGATGCCACCTGCTGTTCAAAGGCAGAACTGCAGCTGTATTTCTCTTACACAAAGGCTTTCAGTAAAAACCTCCACAGTACTGTGTAAATCTTGAGCCTACCTCAACATTTGTAAAGTTTTTCTGAAAAGTGACATTTAAACAGGCTCCTTTATCTGCTGAAATATTTTCACGTGAACTGGATAAAACCAGGCTCAAAATTCTCTCCTTTATTTCCTTTAGTTTCTTTATTGGGACATTAGATCAAAGGTTCTAATGATGGGCTTTTTTTTTTTTTTTTAAATCAGCCACAGATTTACATAAATATTGTGAACAGTCTGAAAAGTCAGTTTTCTGCCATCCTGTAGATAACATAAACACACCCCTCAGCAAAACCCTCCACAATATAGACAGCAAACAAACTGGGGCCTTTATTCACACAGGTCTCTCAGAGAGCTCATGGAACAGCCTAAAAATATTAGCATGAAGTTTTAGGAAAACTCTCCCAGCAGCTCAAAGCAAGAAAAACTATAATTGTTAACTCAGTGCAGAGGTGTTGTGGACTCTGCTGTTAGGGCAATCGTGGCTCAAGAGTTGGGTGTTCATCTTGTAATCGGAAGGTTGCCGGTTCGAGCCCCGGCTCGGACAGTCTTGGTCGTTGTGTCCTTGGGCAAGACACTTCACCTACTGGTAATGGCCAGAGGGGGCCGATAGCGCAATATGGGAGCCTCGCTTCTGTCAGTCTGCCCCAGG